GCGGCGGGGGGGCGGTGGGGAAGAGTCAAGATGCAGATTTTGCGTCAGATGCTCTCGAAGGCTCGCAGCGCTTGGCGAGGTTAAATCTCGCCGCCACATGTGCCCGAGCAGGTTGTTTGCACAGGTCAATCCGCCGGGCGGCCGCCGCGAGCGCTTCTCAGCTGTTCTTGGCGCGGTGCGCAAGGTATGTAGTCTGGGAAACGTCCCCTCGGCTCCGCTGGGGAAGGGCTTTCGCTGCTGGTGGAAGGTGCATCGGCTAAAAGACCATGAGATTAGGGGTGTTGTTTGGTTTTTTTTTTTCCTTTGTTTCACAAACTGATTTTGCAGCGATTTATTTTTCTTTCCCTGAGCTAAAGCCCCTTTAGGCTTTCTTGGCGGTCCTTTTACAACTTGCCGTTCGTTTCTTTATCTGTGTAAGATTTCCGTTTGTTCTGGGGATTTACGCAACGTACCATAAGCCTGCGAAATTACAGGGCAGGCGACTGCCGCTAATATCTCAGCATGCTCTTCATTAGCCCCTGTCTGGCAGGAACGTGTGATAATTGGAAAAATGGGGAGAGATTTTGCACTGAAATTAAAAAAAAAAAAAGGAAACAACAAGAAAAATTCCTCAGACGTCTCCCTGCTGGTCCTGGTGAAGTTACTGTGATAAAAGAGCAGGAATTACAGGTTATCAAACAGCTTAAATTTTAAAATTTATTTTAAAAAGGAAAGAAAGAAAATTTATATCCATCCTATTTGGGGAAATGGATTTTACATGTGAAATGCAGAAATAAATGGTGCATCTGTTTTTTCCTCTTTTAGATCCACCCGCCGGGAGTAAGGAACGGAGATCTGCCTTCTCCTTACTTGACTTTTTGTTTCAGCCGAAAGCAGTCGATTGACTCGAACAGCAGGGCTATAATGACTTTGCTGCACTTGCACCTCTATGTCACTGGCTTGGTCTTCTGGATTACGCAGAAATCCAGCTCTTTGGTGCTGCCCAACGCCACCGAGCTCCTGCAGCCGCCCGACGGCGGAGCGACCGGCCTCGTGCCGGGCATCGGGGTGCCCAGGAGCCGGCGCAGGCGCTACATCTCCCCCCGGGACATGAGCGCGATTTTGGACTACCACAACCAATCCATCCTGAGCTGCAAAAGCCACAGTTTGCAGAGGTAATATCAGGGAAAGGGAGGTGGTTACGCCCCCGGTGTCCCATCTGCACCCTCCCTGCGGTGCTACGTGCTGCAAACAGCAGAGTTTGGGCGTTTTAGTCCCTCTCCGTCCGTTGGCACACGCCTGGCACTGGGTGTATTCACAAACCTGCAGAAATAGAGCAAGAAAGGCTCAGGTCCCAGTGCACAGCCCGAATGGGAGCTCTCCTCCAACTGTGGCCTCCGAGGAAAGGGACGGTGCTGGTCACTGGGCGGTCACCAGCAGGGTC